GCTCTGAGCCAGCAGCTGGGATTGTGGTGGCCGTGGTGTCCCCAACATTGGTGTGAGCCCCTCTTTTTGCTGCTGTGTTGCTGCCTCTCTGTTGGAATCTGAGACCCCTGAGCCAGGTTTGAATTTCTTCTCTGTGAGGTATGTGCTGGAGGCTTGCTGGTGCTGGGTGGTCACAGTCCTTTCCTGAACTGGGGTCTTGGGGCATGGAGTGAGCCTGTTCCTCTTGTTTTAGACCATGTGCCTCTCCAGAGAAGCCCACCCACCCGTGGTACTTCTGTGGGATGTTGGGAGTAGCTGGGTGTTCCTCCTGCTCTGCTCCCCTTGCTGCCCCCAAATACCAGCAGGAGCTGGTGGCCTGTGCCATGGAGCTGGAAGTTTCATGGCCTTTAGAGAGTTAGCTTTAATTGCTGCAGGATTATTTTGAGGCACAGGGACTTGGGGATGGTGCTGCTTCTCCCCACGCATGAAAGGCTTGGAAAGTGTTTGTGCTGGGGATGCAGTGGGACCCTGGGTGAGGTCTGGCAGGAGCTCCATCCCTGCAGCACCGGGGTGGTACTGGCAGCTCTAGGGGGGCCTGAGGATCAGCCCTGCATGATGTGGGTTAAATCACTCTCTGCTTTCCTGAGATGAACACAGGATCGGCTAACGCAGGATGGAGAGCTGCCACTGTCTCAGCTCCCTCTTTAGCCAGTGTTTTAGCAAAATCCATGCTTAATTTGGTTTGAATCTCGGCTCCGTCTTTCATCAGGCCAGCAGGATGAAAGCCATAGGTCAGATCTCCTCACGGGGCCAATTTGGGCCTGTTTGTGGAGAGATTTGATCTCCCCTGAATGTGTGCACGGCCCCCCTCATTGTTAGTGCCACCAGCTTCCCCTCTGCTGGGACAATAGTGCCTTGAGTCCTCTCAGGTAATCTCCCTCCTTATCTCCCTTCTCTTCCGTAGCCTCTGTTCCTGACAGGCAGGAGGGTGGGAGCTTTGGGAAGAGCCAATTATGCAGATGGAGAAGAGGTGCTGTGTCAACCAAGGTCCCTTTTTTGGGGAGAGGGAATGAGAAGAGGATATTCAACACATCCAAGCTCTTCCCTGTTTACCTGCCTTCTGTGCTCCTGGAAGCCCTCCCAGGAGATCCTGGGATGGGGTGAGGGATGTTTGGAGATGCCCTGTTGCTCTCTGGTCACTTGGCCAGCCTGGCTTTGCCCCACGCTGGTCCCTCTCCTTTTGGGGCTGTGGTGATGGGGAAGAGCACGGTGACCATTGCTGGGGATGCTGGATGTGTGGGCTGGCTGACCTGATGGTCCAGCTCAGGATGGGAAGCCATGAGGGAACAAAGATCCATCCCTTGGAAATCCACCTCTGCAGCTTTATTTTGGCATGTCCCAGGCTGAATCCTGCGCTCCAGATCTGGCCTGGCTGAAGTGTGGTGAGCACAGACCTGTGGCTGTGGGTGGTACCGAGGGTCCCAGGGAGATGGGACAGCATTTTTATGCCTCCCCAAAAGCACAAGGGTAATTAGTAGCTCCTCTTGAGGTTTTGTGTGAGCCATTAAGGTCTGACTGGCTTTTTCTTTCTACTGGTGAGGAAGTTAACAAGTTGCTTTGTCCACTGCCTGCCGGTAGAAGAAAGCAGTAAAGAGGCAGCAAAAGTAGATTTAGAAAATCAGAAGGGTGGGAAAGGAGGCAGTTGTGGAGCCAGCCATGATGGGGGAGTGTTTTGAAATCAAAGCACTCTTCTAAAAAGAAAACTTAAGCCCAGCAGATCTACTCAGCAGTCAAGCTCCCAGGTTTTTTTTATTTTCTAAACACTGTGTAATAATTGTTAAATGCAGGGGATACTTTGTAAAATAGAATTCAAGGGAAGAGGGGAGGAGGGAGGACAAAGCAGAATTTAAATTTAAGTTTGGATAGGGGTACAAAGCCCCTTAGTTCCCCATTTCTACTTAATGCAGCTCTAGCTGAGCTTGACAAGATGCTGACCAGAGCCTGTGGTAAATGTTTTACGGTACCATGTATCAGCCAGATCAATTCTACTGTGCTTGAGGGAGTGCAGATAAAATGGCTTAAAGATTCCCCTGCTGAAAGCGATAGGGCCATCATTTATGCCGGAGGAGACAGATTTAGTTGCCTGACGTTTATTTGGCCACGGTGTACTTTGCAGATTTCACACCCGGGGACGATAGCCAACCTGATGATGTCAGATGTGAGCTGGAAGAGAAGGAAAAATCACACAAACTCTGGTGCTGTTCCTCTTTTGTCAAGGAGATGAGTTTTGCGAAGTGTCTTGGTTGTTTTGCTCCACCGAGCGCTTTAATGGAAAGTGCCTGGCAGGAGCAGGATGTTGCTAGAGCGGCGCATCCCGGCACGACACGGCAGCAGAAATAGCTCCATAATTTACGTCATTTCTCTCAATCCTGTTTTGCCTTTAGGTCATTTGAAGTCCAATCTGAGCGACCATGAGCGCTCTTGACTTGACTTCCATCCTGGATTTCCTGGAGACGGCCAACTTGACGGAGATCAACTGGACGTGCAACAACGGCGAGTGCATCACGGTGGACGCGACAACATGCTCCGGCACGCTCAACAAGAGCGCCCTGCTCTACACCCTGTCCTTCTTCTACATCTTCATCTTCGTCATTGGCCTGGTGGCCAACTCGGTGGTGGTGTGGGTCAACCTCCAGGCCAAAATGACCGGCTATGAAACCCACCTGTACATCTTCAACCTGGCCATCGCCGACCTGTGCGTCGTGATCACCCTTCCTGTATGGGTCGTCTCGCTCGTCCAGCACAACCAGTGGCACATGGGGGAAATCACGTGCAAGATAACTCACCTGATATTTTCCATCAACTTGTACAGCAGCATCTTCTTCCTGGCGTGCATGAGCGTGGACCGCTACCTCTCGGTTGCCTATTTCACCAGCTCCAGCAGCCGCAAGAAGAAGATCATCCGCCGCTGCATCTGCGTCCTGGTGTGGCTCCTGGCCTTCTCCGCGTCCCTCCCGGACACCTATTACCTCAAGACGGTCTCTTCCAACAACGAGACCTACTGCAGGCCCGTTTACCCCGAAGAGAGCTTCAAGGAGTGGTTGATTGGCATGGAGCTCATCTCTGTGGTGCTGGGCTTCCTCATCCCCTTTCCCATCATCACCGTGTTTTATTTCCTCCTGGCCAAGAGCATCTCCGCCTCCAGCGACCAGGAGCGGAAGAGCAACGGGAAGATCATCTTCTCCTACGTCGTGGTGTTCCTGGTGTGCTGGCTGCCCTACCACGTGGCCGTGCTGCTGGACATCTTCTACAGCCTTCACTTCATCCCCTTCAGCTGCCAGATGGAGAACTTCCTCTACGCCACCCTCCACATCACCCAGTGCTTCTCCCTCGTGCACTGCTGTGTCAACCCCATCCTGTACAGCTTCATCAACCGCAACTACAGATACGAGCTCATGAAAGCCTTTATTTTCAAGTACTCTGCCAAAACCGGCCTCACTAAACTCATCGACGCCTCCAGAGTGTCAGAAGCAGAATACTCAGCTCTGGAGCAAAATGCCAAATGACTGCAGCCCCAGAAAGAAACTTCCTTGACTCTCTGACCTGATGTGGTTTTTTTTTTGTGTGTTATGGTTTGTTGTTAATTTTTATTTTTTTTTCACCCCTTCCTTTCAATGTGCTTGTTATGAACGGGGCGTGAATTCCAGCCTACAAAAGAGAGAGGACAAAGTGTAATTTAAGAGTAGGATCAGTTGCAAAGTGGAAGTGGTACCAAAATGAAAACCTTTTCTCCTCCTAGCCCAGTGTGGACTCCTCAACAACGCTATGCAAATGGAAATGACTTCCTAGCAGACAAAGCCATTGTGTAGCATAGATAACATGGATAAGCTTCTCCTTCCACGTCTTGATTCCCTCTTGTCTCCTTGTATATGTTTATATATATAGTGTGTTGTATTTAAAAGCTCGAGACTTTATTTTCTGCCTCTTGGTGTACCTTATACAAGTGTATTTGAAAGTTAAATATATTTTTATCATGTATTTGAAGTATATTGCTGATGAGTGTATCCAGAGTGCTGTAGTCTGAGTGTTAGGTGGCCGTTTGGCTCCAAGAGGATGCTGATAAATAGGATGGAAATGATCTCTTGGGAGCATCCTCCCAGGCTGGCACACTTTATGGACCGTGGCTTTATGTGGTGTCACACCCACATGCTGGAGCATGAAATATATGTAGTGTAATATAGCTGCCATCATGTTAAAATTAACAGTATTGTCAGAGTCCTTAACTCCTACTCCCCTGCTTCACCAGGCTGTATCCTCCTGCACAGAGTGAGTGATCCTACTGCTGAGAGTTGTCTCTATTTGTAAGTTATTTTTGTAAAATAAAGATCTGAGAAAAAAATCCAAACAAACCTGTGCCTACCAGTGGTTTGATTTGCCAGCCTTCTCCTCAGGAAAAAAAATAAGCCAAAAAGGAGGAATCTCAAGCCCACCTCCTGTCCTTTGGTGCAAGAGCAGACAGGTCAGTCAGAGTTTTCCTGGTGTTTGGTGGCCAGGTAGAAGTGTTGGAGGAATGAGAGATGGCACTGGAGCGTGGTGAGCAGGGAAGGGGTGGGAGGAGTGAGTCTGTGCTGGTGGGGAAGGTAAAACTGATGGATTTATAAGGTAAAAGCTGCTAGGAATGATGAAAAGCTGTGTTTGTAGCTTAGAAATAAACACAGGGAAGGAAAATACGGAAGTGTGCAGATGGAGCGGATATTTGGACTAATCCAGGTTCAAGCCTCCGGGGTTTTTGCTGGCCATGGAATTGGGGGGTTAGCTGTCCTGACAGCACTAAATCCCTCTTTATCTCTTCTTCCCTTTGTTGTGGATTTGCAGTGCCGTGGTGTTCGAGTGTGGGGCAGGATCCAGGCGCTGTGGGATGCCTGAAGTGGAGCCTTAAGCCAGCAAAGGACTTGAGCCACGGTCATGTTCACCTCAGGACAAGGTATTTAATGTCAAATCAGTGATGTCTCCCAGCCATGTCTGCTGCTCCACTTAAATTCCTGTTCAATCCAAGAATGCCCTCATCCCCCCTGTGATCCCAACAGCCAAACCATTTGGGAATGACTGTATTTTGTTTCTTTCTACATGTTCCATTACTGCCTCCTCAAAGGTTGTCCTGCAAGAACAGATGTTAAGTCTGCCATCCCCTCCTTGTACTGCTGTTGCTAAAAAAGCACCAGTCCGCTCCCAAATGGGGAGAAATCCCAAAAGGAAGAGGATTTCTGGTTGCAGAGAAGCTGTCAGGATGGAGTGCAGGTGCAGCTTTTTGTGCTGATGCTTCTTGTACACTGTGGGTATTTTGAGCTTCCTGTAAACCTCAAGATGCTGCTGAGCTGCAGGGAAGGTTCTCCCTTGTGCTGACACTTGAAATTGGTTAGTGCTGAGAAATTAATCCCCTGCTTTAGCTGGGCATTGCTCCTCTTCCCTCAGCATCCCTGTGTGCAGCTGTGTCCTCCCCAAAGGTGCTGGATACAGCTCTGGCATCCCACTCCTGTCCACCTGCGGGGTATTGCTCACTTTAGAGCAGCAGAACTGTTTCAGTTCAGGTTCCCTCTCAGGCAATGGGCTGTTCTCACGTGGTGCTGTAGCTTTATACTGGCAGAAACTCACAGAATTTTTTTTTTCCTTTCTCTCTGCAGTTTGGTATTCACAGAGCGGCGTCAGCCCTGCACATAGCCCGGGTGGTGCTGAGTGTTGGGGAGATCCTGCAGATCAGTGCTGCCTGAACCACACTGATAAAGTCTCCAGGCCTCTTCCTTGGGGAGGTGAATCGTGGTGTGATGGTGCCTTTTCCAAAAGCAGGGTCAGACAGGGAGCAGGGAAAGGTCAGGACCGTGACCCTTGCTGTCAATGCTGTGCATGCATGGAACTTTTCCAGCTCCTTGATGGGAAAACCTGGAGCTGAGGACTCACCTTGTCCCTTGAAAGGACAAGTGGAGCTGGGAGGCAGCACGCCCCACACCAGCAGTTTGGGAAGTGGGAACACTGTCCTCCACAAGGCTTGGCACTGCTGAGTGGCCCTGAGGTGGCTGTGATCCTGGGAAGGGGGGTGGTGGGCAGAGGATGGGAAATGGGTGGAGGGCAGAACAATGCAGGGGGAGGAGGGATGGAGTTTGTAATTGTTGTGTATTTCTCATTAGGACTTTGGTTTCATGTTAAAAAATCTCAAAAATCAAACTGGCAGAGGTGTAATAGCTTAAAAACTTGTCTGTGTTCTAGGAAGCTTTTCTCCTGTGCGATATGATGCCCTAGCTGGGGTTTGCGCTGAAACCAAAGTGTGGATCTGGACTCCTTGGAGACTGAAATGAGGGAATTTATCAGCAGATAGCAGATGAGTGAGAATAGGTGTCTTCTGTGATGTGACTGTGACTTAGAGTGATTGATGTGATGGCTGCTGTCACTTTGGCCAAACGTCCTGAGCCTGGAACTTGGGGTGTTCAGGAAGAATTTCTTCATGGAAAAGGCTCTTAAGCATTGGAAGGGGCTGCCCAGGGGAGTGATGGAGTCCACATCCCTGGAGGTGTTGAAGGAAAGACTGGACTTGGCACTTGGGGCTGGGTGACAAAGTGGGGATTAGTCACAGATCGCTCTTGGCTGGAAAAGACCTCCCAGACCATCAAAATGATTCTGTGATTCTGCTTTATGAAGGATCCCTGCTTCTTTTTGCTGTGCTTGGGGATCTCTCTTGTTCCCCTGACAGCTACAGGTGTCCTTGGGGATTCAGGTCCTATCTTTTCCAGGAGGTCAAATTCACTGTGTTAAGGCTTGGCTGGAAAAATGAGCACAAATCAAACATAATCCATAACCTGGAGCGAGTCCTCCTGCTTAACTCTTGGGCTTTCTGGCAAAGCATCTCCATGTGCCTCAGAGGCAGGCACTGAGCAAATAAAAATACATCTGCTCCGTGAGAAAGGCTTTATTTCTCTTCTTCCATACAAAGTGCAGTGCTGCTTTATTGTTCCTTAAACACAGCTTTCCTTTTATGAGCCATAAATGACGATCAGGTGTAGCACAGTGACTTTAAATCAGCTCCTCTGGCATTATGCAGATAATGTACTGTAAGAAACACCCAACTGGTGCTAATTCATGGTTTCAGTGCTGCTGACTTTAGGTACTCTCCTTTCACGAGTTCACTGAGCATAAAAGCCAGTAAAAATTCCTAAGAAGCAAGGAATAACTCAGCTGTGAGCAATATTGAGGCACATGGGGACGGGGGCAGCACTGCCAAAGCCCAGCTCTTAATTCTGTTTCTAAGAGTTTCTCCATGACAAGAGTGGAGCTGGTACTCTAAAAAATGAAGGGCTGTGGGGTTGAGCGGGGTATGATGTGATGGGGGTGGGCTTTGGGGGGAATTGGTGTGTTCAGAGCCCAGGGTTTGCTTTTGGCCTCCTTTCTCCATCAGGATGTGTGGTTGAAGAGCATCTGAGCCAGAGTCTGCTCCGACTTACACCCTGGATTTACAGTAAGGTAATGCTGCAGATTTAAAAGGAGCTCTCTGGGATTTATAGGGCTTTTTATAAGCAGGATCAGGACTTTCAGCCATAATCCCGTGCAAATGTATGGGTGTGAGTGGCGACGTGTGCATCTGCATGGCTAATGCAGAGTAATACCCACATCCAGCCAGAACTGGGAGATGCAATCACAGCAGAGGATAACCATGGCAGCTTGCTCCCACAAAAGTACTTGCATTACAGGGTTATAATGGGATTCAAACCAGGCTCCCAAAGATCCTGGCCTGGATAAGCTAGCTGTAACTCTAAAACATGTGTCTGACTTTCCAACACCCACTGTCATGAGAAAAAACAGCCTCCTTCTACTTTGGTAGTTGCTGTTTGAAAGCAATTTTTCTTTTTTTTTTTTTTTTTTTTTCCCCTTTTTCCATAGAATTCTTAATCTCTTTGTTTTTATTGTGGGAAATACATATGCAAGGCCTTAGCTAGAGAAAATACTGTAACTTCATAGTGCCAAGGAGATGCCAACATTATGTGAATCCAGGGAGACCCCTCAATCCTAAAATACTGAGCAGGATGGCTCTGGAGTGAGCATCAGAGTAAGGCTTTTTGGGGTTTTTAACTTACTAAACAGGTACAAGAAAGCACTGGGAAACTAACCAGGCCCTCTGCAGATGATGCTTCTTGTCATCCTCTGGTTTGAAGCCAACTCTGATGATGGATGGTGCCTCTTGCCTTTAGGTTAAGGGGGGAAAAAAGCCCCCGAGCCCCTCTCGTGTTTGCTGTCTGTACAGTGCTATTTCCAGACTAAAGAAAAAGAGTTAAATTACATTTTAACAGAACAATACTGACAACAGCAAAGGTCAGGAAACTTTTACGTAAGGTCACCCTATCGATTGCAGCAGTGAAAGGAGAGACATCAAATACTTGGCCGTGAAAGGCTGAAAAGAAGTAAATTCAGCATGAGATATTGAAACCCAAGCCTCTTTCATATGTGGCAGAGCCTCTGACATAGCAGGTTTACTGTTCAAGCTGAGATATGTTGCCTTGCCAACATATATTCTGAGTTACCCAAGCAGATTTAATGTTTTTGCAGTGGTGACTTTTCCCTTTTTTTTTTTGGGGGGGGGGGAAGCTTTTCTTTTTCTTTTCAAAAAAGAAAAAAATTGTTGCAGAAGATTTCAAACCTACCTAGGAAATGACCTTAATCAATTTAGTTCCACCGATGAGTATGAAAACTCGTATCTTTCTTTTTTTGCTTTCTCTGAACATTGTCTTGCCTGCATTGAGCGGGGTGACCGAGTCACAGCTTGAGAGAAAAGTGTGTTTTGTTTGTTGTTTTGTTGTGGGGTTTTTTTTTAATCCATCCAAGTGGCAGCTCTGTTTTGTCCAAAAGGATTGACGTGACTGACAAGTGTTTTGAATTTCTAAGCTCCGAGGTCTCCAAATGCATGAAAAGCGAATGACACACACATAAAAATGTAAATCTTTGGAAAACAAGCACCAACTACACAAAAAACATAACAATTCTGCAAAAGGGTGACAGATGCTGCATTCATTCTGGTCTTTTTTTTTTTTTTTTCCTTTTTTTTCCCTCCTTTTTCTTTTTAATAAGCCAGTGTTTCTGGGCCACCTACAGGCACATTTGTGTCTCCTGCAGGAGGGAATCGGGATGCACAATAAGGCAAAGTCATGGTTGTGCATCAGGGTGGGTCTTTCTGCAGCTCCCATCGCCACCAGCTCGCCAGGATCCGTCCCCATCAGCTCCATGTCCATGGGGGTGACTCCCTGGATCTTGATCCAACAGGCACAGACATTCCAGTGTCCTCATTATCTGGGGCTTGGGCTGTGGGAGTCCCAGGGCAGTGAAGTCACAGGGCAGGACTGTGCCTCCCACCTTGTGCATCCCTGAAAGCGTTGTCCAAATGCTCCTGGAGCTCTGGCAGCCTTGGGGCTGTGCCCATTCCCTCTGGAATTAGGAAGAATCTGTTCCCAATATCCAGCCTGACCTTCCTCTGATACAGCTCCATGGCATTCCCTCCTGTCAGTGGTCACCACAGAGTGACCAGAAGGTGTGAGAAGGAAGGAAAGGCACATTTCTGGTCTCCCAAGCAGCAAGCTGGCTTCTCCCTTCTTCCAGGCATCCCATCACAGCCTTGTCACTCACTGTCCTGGGCAAAGGCTCAGGATTATCCATGACCACCATATGGAGTTTAGAGTGTTTTATCAATTTTTGCCTGCTGGTAATATATCTGAGTCCAGACCACCTGAATGCAGGATGTGCCTCCACAGAGCAGCCCAGGAGCCCTCTGTGGCATGGCCCTGCTCCCTCCTGGCTCTCTTTTCCCTTGTGGCAGGATCAAAGATGTGGGATCACTGTGTGGAGGAGGCTGGGACCTTGATGACACAATCTGGAGCTCTTGTCCCCAACTCAGCCACCCTGTTCCAGGGCTGGCTGGAATCTGGAGGTCGTGCCTTTGGTGGGTGGCAGTTTTCTAAAGAGGAGTGGTGGTGGGGAGAGAGGTTTTCTTCTCATTTCCCATCCTGTCTGGCCTGGTGAATGCCATGTTTTGGTTGAGGGGTTTGAGAGAGCAAGGGAAGCAGTCAGTTGGAAAGTCTGATCCCACGGCTTCCCCTCAGTTCAGCTCCAGCGCTTCCTCATGGCTGCTTTATGGCAGAGGCAGAGGAGAATCCATGCCTTCCATCCATAAAACAGCTGAGTGTTTTGGATTCCTGCTTCCAGGAGAGAATAGCCCTCATTGTACTCCTGGAGAATAAAATAGGAGAGGGAGACTCTTCCCTGTGCATGTTCCGGCTCCCTTGGCTGAGAGGCAGCTTTGCTCACCCACGATTGATTCTTGGCATTATTTGAAGCTTTCTAAACCTTGCCTGAGTTGTGTCTGTCTGTGGAACAAATGCCAGGCATTCTTTGCTCAATCTAATTATGGGATGAGGGTGATGGAGCTTGGGAGATCGCTGGGAAAGGATGGAAAGTGGATTTTTCCATCAGCAGCCCTGGTAGTTTGCTGTCTTCCCTGGGCATCATCTCAGCTCTGCACCTGGTGGGTGATGTCTTGGCCCTGCTTCTGCCAAAGATACTTCAGGATGAAAGCCTGGATTTCAGGTTGGAAGCTCCCAGACAGGTGAACACCCTGTGTGTCTGAGAGGGGTGACTGCTTGGCTCAGCCCCTGGAAGTCTGGATGCAAACCTGAAGTGCATTAAACCTTTTCCAAGAGTGGGGGATGTTCACACTTTGAAAAGCTTTCTGAGCTTTCCAGTGTCTGCTGCTTCCAGTCAGGCTGGAATCCCAAAAGTGATTAATAAGGGACAAAAAGCAGATCCTGAGACAGGTTCAGCTCCACAGCAGTTCTGAAATCGTGGGCTTGCAGCAGTCTCATGCTTTCCTCAGGTAGGTTTGCTCCTGGAGAGCTGGAAATCCATTATTCACACTGCATTCACTTCCAGGTGCTGTTTGTATAAGAGTTAGGAATGGCTCCAGGTGTAAAATTTCCAGTGTCTGCTGGCATCCGTGCCTTACACTCCTTTATGTGTCCGGAAGGTCTGATCCAGGCAGCTTGGGGAAGTGAAGGGGGTTTATGGCAGGCTGGGTAAGTGCTCCTGGACACGTGGCCCTCTCCCTGAGCTTCCCATAGATCTGGTGACAGCCTCTTTCCCCTGATTCAGTGAGAAATTCCCAGACACCTCTCAGCCTGGATTTCTTCCTGGCAGTTTCTTGATTTTCCTCTGCTCCGTGGGACCACAGCTTGTTGCCTGTTGGGAAGGAGAGGCAGTTCTCCATTTGTGCTGAGGAATGTCTATGCAGGAAAACATAGGAGGTGGTACAACCCCAAAGATTAACTGTTGTCACACAGGCTGTGAAAGGAAGCAATGTACAGCTCCAGAAATATTACTTGGCATCTCACAAATCAGTTCTCCTTTCCTGTGGTAAGTGACCAACCCTTTCCACTTTCCAAGCAGTTGGAATACGTCCACGTTGCTG